ATACATGGAAAAAGAAAATTATGCAATTATTAAACTGAAAATTTTACTTTTATCTATTTTAAATTAAATTTTTACAGATGATAAAACCATTGATAGTACAGCAAAGAGGGATGATGAAAAACATCGATTACAATTAACTGATAATGGTTAGAGTTAATCATTTGATATATATCATTATCATATAATTTTAGTCATTCCGGATAAAACTTTTCCGGATTTTCTATTTGCTCATATAAAATAATTAATACTAAATCTCTTAATCGGTAAACGTCTATTAGAAATAAATTCAAAAAATAAAAAGAAAAAACCGGAATAAAAAACAAAAACCGGAATAAAAAACAATAGCTGAAAAATTGTAATAATGCTTGAATTTTTTTTTAAAAATTTTCAAGTCATTCTTAATAAATGAATAATATTAAATGAGAGATTAATTTTATTTTTTATAGCAGCAAAGAAATTTTTCCGTTGGATATTACCGGCTAATAATCGGATACCGGATAATAAAACAATGAAAATATTCAGTTCCATTCAAGCATTTACAGCATGTTTTGCCGGATTTGCACATGGTGCTAATGATGTCGGGTAATTTCATTTTTAATTTTTTTTTTGTTTTATTAAAATATTTAGGAAAATATTGGAATTTATTTTAATATTTTTGAAATAAATTATCATATAATTTATAATCGAAATGAAAACTTTTTTTTTTCAAAAAAAAAAATCAATTTTTCTGCATAATTAAAATATAAAAAATTGATAAAGTAACCTAATAATTATTATAAAATAGCCTAATAATTATCATGAAAGCATAAAAAAATTTTACAAAAAAAAAAAAAAAATTAAAGAAATTTTATAATTTTGGAAATTTTACAAATTAAAATTTTTTAAGAAAAAATTTAAAATAAATGATTAAATGATAAATAATATATTTTTATATTTTTAGAAATGCTATAGCACCATTAACAGCATTAATATCAATTTATTCAAATTTGGATGTACGACAACATGCTGAAACACCAATTTATGTATTACTGTATGGTGTATTTGGTATATGTGTTGGTCTTGTGGTACTTGGACATCGTGTCATACGAACAATTGGTACTGATATGTCAACAATTAATGCTGCAAGGTTTTTTTTATCATTTCATCAAATTAATATGTTCTTAAAATTTGCATAAATTTTTAAGATTTATATATAGCAATTTATAATTTGAATTGAATAAAAATTTAAAGAAAAAAAATAGTATAAAATTATATTTAAAGAAAAAAATAAAAATACAAAAAAAAAAAATGATATAAAAATTTGGAAAAAAAACATAAATGACATAAAATCATATTTTAAAAAATTTAACAAAAACAAACTACACAAATTTATATTTTAAAAAATTTAAAAGACATAAAAAACAAATCATATAAATTTATACTTTCAAAAATTTAAAAAACACAAAAAACAAATGATATAAATTTATATTTTAAACAATGTAAAAGAAAGCAAGTGATACAAATTTATACTTTAAAAAATATATTAAAAAAAGACAAATAATATAAAATTTGTTGAAATCCGGAAAGAAATTGTATAAAATCCGGAAAAAAACAGATTTTCGGAATTTCAGTGGTTTTACAATTGAATTTGGTGCAGCAGTAACTTCATTAACAGCTAGTAAACTTGGTCTACCAATTAGTACAACTCATTCATTGGTTTGTTTTACAATAATATTTCTAATATATATATATATATATATTTTTTTTATGGAAATAGAAATTTTGAAAGAAAAACAAATGGATAAATTCATAATTGTAATCGTAACTTTTAATTGCAACTTAATTAATTACAACTTTTTTTTTGAGCTAATTGTAACTTAATTAATTGTAACTTTTTTGGCTTAATTGTAACTTAATTAATTGCAACTTTTTTTGAGTTAGTTGTAACTTTTTCTTGGCTTGATTGTAACTTTTTAATTTAATTACAAATTTTTTGACTTAATCACTACTTAATTGTTAATTATAAGTTAATTGTGACTTTTTTTTTGTTTATTTTAGGTAGGAAGTGTAATATTTGTTGGATTGGTACATGCAAGGAAAGGTGTCAAATGGTCAATATTTCGAAATATTGTCTTATCATGGATCTTAACTTTACCTATTTCAGGTTTATTTTATAATTTTTAAAAATATTCCTTCGTTTTGCTCTTTTTTTTATAGAAAGACTATTTTTAATATTTTTAAAAACAATTTTGCTTGCATAAGTTTTTGAAAAAAAAAAACAAAAAAAGTAAATTAAAAATTTTAGGTTCAAATAGAATTTTGCACATAGTTTTTGTGATCTTTTTTTTTAAACTTGTGTAAACATTTTCTCTTCCTTTTTTTTCGAAATTTTGTTAAATATTGAAAATATATATTTTTTCTTTCTCTTTCTCCCTCTCTCTTTCTCTCTCTCCCTCTCTTTTTCTCTTAAACGCTGATATACCTATTTAAAAGTTATTATTAACAATTTTTATATTATAATTTTAAATTATTTCAGGCCTTATGTCGATGGGTTTGATGTTAATTTTGAAATTTTTACTTTAAAAAGTATAATTTGAATGTTTATTTTTTTTTAACTTACATTAATTGTTGTATGTAATATATTTCATTATTTTTTGTTATCAATTTTAACAATTCCATCCTATCTTTGTTTATTTTAATTTGTATAATGAAAATTAAAAAAAAAAAAGCTTTGCCATTTACCATTTAATCTTTTTTTTTCCAAAATTTTATGCTAATTTAGTAAATTGATAAATGATAAGATTGGCGAGAGAATAAATTGTTTTCGTTTTCTTTTTCTTGATAATTTTATCCAATTTTAGACAATAATATTTACAAATAAATAATCTAACTGATAATTAATGATAAATTTATCGTTCCATAATGTTTCTTTCAACAAACTTCATGAATTTTTAACACTTTCTTGTATCATTCTTTTTTTGATCGCATACATTAAGTTGAATGATCGAATGATAATTCTTCTAACACTTGAACTGAATGATCGAATGGTAATCCTAACATTTGAACTGGATGATCGAATGGTAAATCCTAACACTTGAACCGAAGATCGAATGGTAATCCTAACATTTGAACTGGATGATCGAATGGTAATCCTAACATTTGAACTGAAGATCGAATGGAAATCCTAACATTTGAACTGGATGATCGAATGGTAATGTTAGCAGTAATTAAAAATTTTATCGAGTAAAATTTGCAGTTTATTTCAAGTTAACCTTCATAATACAAATAACCTAATCAATTACCCTTATCTATTATCAGTTGTAAAACCATTTGATGAGAAAAATTTATTAAATAATTGTAAATTAATTAATTAATGAAAATAGGAAAAAGTTTGAATAAATTTTATTGAAAAAAAGTCTAATTAAACAATTCAAAAATAACAACATTAAAACCCGAACAATCTTACTAATTCCACCTATTGCACATTTGTAAAATAATAAGTTATCAATGATTGCAGAGAATATAGCATGACTGATATCACTGATATTATTATTATTATTATTATTATTATCATTATCATTATCAATCTGATAAATACATTTAGACTTTCTGTGAACATATAAATGAAATCAAAATGTTTTATAATTTATAAATTTAATTTATGCAAACAATCAGATACAGGATCATCATATCTTATCACTCCATTTGATAGTTAATCTTTTGGATGATAATTAGTTCTTTCATAGATTATCTTTTTGAAAAAAATTTTTTTTTTGCCAAACACACTTTTCCCATTTCTTCTTATTATCTTCCTTTCAAACTTTTGTACTAAAAATATGGATTCCCCAACTATTGAAATTATATCGGAAACTTTTTGACTTTTTTTTAAATTCTTTCAATTTATTTTTTAATTTTCTTGGATTTTTGAATTTTTCAAATTTTTTTTGCATTAATTTATTTTCTAGTATATCAGCTATTTCTATCATTAATTTATTTTCTAGTATATCAGCTATTTCTATCATTAATTTATTTTCTAGTATATCAGCTATTTCTATCATTAATTTATTTTCTAATATATCCTCTGTTTTTTTTTGACTGAACAAAATACAAAATGAAAAATACATACAATACATATAATATTATTATTGCAAGACTTGCACTAAAAAAAAAGATGTAATTCATAGTTCTAGTTAATTAAAATATATAATTAAAAAAAGTTACAGTTAATATAATATGTATAGTATAATTTAAAAAGATATAATTAACAATTTAATTATTAATTTAAAAACTGTAAACTTCAAAAAGAAAAAATTGAAATTGGAAAATTGTTATGAGATCGAAACATTTACCCTCCAGAAAGAAGAAAAAAAAGAAGGGTACGAAAATTGTAATTCATTTTAAATTTGTGATTATTTTTTTTTTAAGGATACGATTAAAATAAGAATGGAAAAGGAGTGATAATGAAAAAGTATCAAATTAAATGTTTAAAAATAAAGTTTCTCTAATTTCTCCATTTTTTTTCTTTTTTTGTAATAAAATAGCAAAAATTTTAATCGATTAATTAGAATGAAAAAAAAAGCAAAATAATTTCATTTTGTTAATTTATCAAAAAAAGAAAAAAATTTTTTTTAATCTTACATATATCTTCACATTGAAATTTCACTTATTTCATTTATTTCTATAACAAAAATGATAACAATTTCATAGAAACTTTAATCATAAAATTCAAAAATTTATTAAAATTCATAATTCAATCTTTTATTTTATAAGATCAAAGTTTAGAAATTCTTACAACTCCTGTGTTTTTCTTTTATTTTTATTTATTTTACATACTTTTTTCAATTCAAGTAATAGTTTTTTACTGAAAGAATAATGCTCATCCGATTTCGATCGTATCCCAAAAATAAAAAAACAAAAAAAAAAGAAAAAGAAAAATCCTATTCAATTATTCTGATCGATATGACGAAATATCATTAATTTTAATCATTAATTAACATTTTAATTTACTAACAGAGCGATAAATAAATGATGATGATAAAATATCATCATTATGGAATGCATCATCATCGTTTCAAGTACGAATCTGGGAGAAGCAATTAATATGATTCCAAAATTAAAAAAAAAAAAAAAGAATCATAACAAAAATTTCATTAATAGCATTGATCCAGCTGCTACAAAACCTGAAATATTGATTGTTTCTTAATTAAATTTTACTAGTTATCAAATAGTAAGGATGACTTTCTTTTTTTTTTTTTAAAAATAGCAAACAAGAAATGCAAATGAAAATTTAACTCAAATTATATTAATTTTAGCCTTAATATAAACTATTTCTAAGGAATTATTGTTTTCTTTTTTTTTTACTTCTAAGAAATCATTGTTTTCTTTTTTTCTTAATCAAAATTTAATTAGGAAAAATTTTAAGTTATTGTTAGAAAAAAAATTAGTCGCAAAATATTCCGAAAAAAAATATTCAATATTTTCAAGAAAGACATATCGAGATATGTTGATTTTTAAAATTTTAAAATTTCAATATATCTGATATAATCTTCAAAGATTCAAATTATTCTCTATATTATGCCGGAATTTAGAGAATATAATCAATTTCATTTGTTACTTTACCTGAAGCAGGTAAAGTAACAACCCATGATAGAAAGATATTTCGAAAAATACTCCATCGAACACCAGCACTACGAGATTTGACAACACCGACTGCTACTACACTACCAACCTGAAATTTAACTTTTTAAATTTTAATAACAATTATTACATTCTTATTTCTGACCTAAAGTTGGCTAATAATCTTAATGACCTTAAAAACTAAGCTTACTTCTGAACGCTTCAAATAAAGCACTATAAGGTCATTAAGAATGACCTCTCAAAAAAAAAAAAAAGACCTAAGGTTTTCTTTGATAATCTTTTAATGATTGTCTTTTCACAAGATTTTTTTTTGTAGGGAAATATCCGGATTTATCGTATCCTTAGATTTTTTAATCACACATCTATTTGACCTATTATTGTATCGTTAGATTAAAATAATTATCCTAATGTAAGACTTTTAATTATACTGCAATTATTCGAATGAAGAATTGCTAATCTTTCCAAGAGTTTTTTTTTCTACAAAAATTTTTTAGATAATTAATTACCAAACAATGTGTTGTACTAATTGGTAAACCAGCTTTGCTTGCCAAAAGCGCTGTTACTGCAGCACCAAATTCAATCGTAAAACCACTATAATTTTATCATAACATTGTTTAAATATATGAAATTTATAATAAAAGGGTTGAAAACTTTTGGAAATTTTTTAAATTCATAAATTAATATAAATCAAAATTTCATCTTAAAATAAAATTTTTTAAATTTTAAAAACATATTTTATAATACATATATAATTACCAGTTATTTTTTTTCTTTGCTTATTGATAAGATTATTTTAGTGATAAGAAAAAAAAACAAAAATTCATTTGACCTAGCTGGATTAATATTTGACATTTCGGAACCAACTGTACGAATAACTTTATGTCCAAGTACCACTAAACCAATACAAATTGCAAAGACACCAAATACTAAAACATAAATTGGTGTTTCACCTTTTTGTTGTACATCCATTTGAGTGTAGATGGACAAAAGCGCTGCTAATGGTGCTATTGCATTTCTGAAAACAAACAAACAAGTAAACAAACAAACAAACAAACAAACAAACAAACAACAACAATAAATATGTTTTCTTTTCGATTTTTAATTAAAATTTTAGAAATGTGAAATTCTTTTTTTTCGTTTTTGATAATTTTTTCATTTCGTATTAATTGCAAAATGCCAAAATTTATTATATATGACAAAAAAAAGAGAGAAAAAACTGTTAGAATAAATTCAAAAATGTTTGTTTAGGCAATTTTTTTTTTTAGTTTTATTAAAGTTCAAAATTTATTTCTTTACTAATTTTTTGACAAAATTTACTTACGCAACATCATTAGCGCCATGAGCAAAACCTTCAAAACATGCAGTAAATGCCTGAATGGAACCGAAAATAAGCGTAGTTTTCGAATCCGGTTGATGTTTTTTATCCGGTAAAAAGCATCGTACAAAATGTTTCAGGGCTAAAAAAAAGAAAAAGAAGAATAAAAT